ATCCTAAAATTCAACATTAGTAACTTACTTTTAACAGCATCAGACAGCATCAGATCTCCCGGTTGTTACTTGTGAATTCAGTTCACTGGAGACTCGCACTAAACGGATCATTTGAATCAGTGAGTTGTCGACTCGAGAACAGCTGCAATCGGATCATTCCAATTCGTGAATGAATCGTTTGGTGCGATTCATTGAAAAGAATCAGTTCGTTCATGAATCAGACACCGCTTCTGCGTCTCGGAGCACGTGATATATTATAAGGCGTAACGATAAGTTTTATGAAATGTAGTGAAGTAAAAAGTACGATCTTATGCTTTGGAATGTAGTGAAGTAAAAGTTACTCCAAATAAAACTACTCCAGTAAAGTACAGATACTTGAAAAATTTAATAATTAATATTTATATAGCGCTTTTCTAGGCACTCAAAGCGCTTTACATTGTCAGGGGGGATCTCCTCATCCACCACCAGTGTGCAGCATCCACCTGGATAATGCGACGGCAGCCCTAGAGCGCCAGAACGCCCACCACACACCACACATCACACACCAGCTTACTGGTGGAGAGGAGACAGTGATGAAGCCAATCAGCAGATATGGGGATTGTTAGGAGGCCATGATGATCAGAGGTCAATGGGCAAATTTGGTCAGGATGCCGAGGTCACACCTCTACTCTTTTCGAAAGACATCCTGGGATTTGTAATGACCACAGAGAGTCAGGACCTCGGTTTAACGTCTCATCCGAAGGACGGTGCTTGTTGACAGTATAGTGGCCCCGTCACTACACTGGGGCGTTAGGACCCACACAGACCACCCCCTGCTGGCCTCACTAACACCTCTTCCAGCAGCAACCTAGTTTTCCCAGGAGGACCATCCAGACCAGTCTCAGCCCTGCTTGGCTTCAGTGGGTAACCACTCTTGGGCTACAGGGTGATATGGCTGCCAGTTAAGTACTTAAGTACAGTAACGAAATCAAACTACTTCGTTTCTGTCCACCACTGAACAGTGTGCAGCCGTGGACGTTTATGCCCAACGGGAGAATTCTATCTTTTTTAATAGCATGTAAAATGTCATAAAGGTCAGGTGCGCACAATGAATTAACAAACGCTACGCTACAAACACGGATACATGTCAAAGTCTATAGAATATTTCCTCCATTCCAGCACTAGGGAGCGTCAATGCTTCAAGCAAAGTGTATTTTACAGCCGAACCGAGATGTATGTATGCCAAAGTTTCTCATACAAAGAAGTTGTCAACAGCGACACCGTGGCGTGTACTTTTGACCATTTAATTTCCTATTTGGAATCAATAACAGGAAAGGAATAGACTACTCGTCGTTTTTTGTTTAATTTAACGAACGGAAAACTAGAATTTTCTTCAATGTATCACTTTAGAAAAGCTTGATTGGTCATACCACCCCGTCTTCTATACTAAAATATTAAACAAGGGGCTAAGTAAATAATACAAAGACGTAAATAAATAACAGGTGAGAAATGATAAATGCTGTATCAGTGGCTTAATAGTTGTTGCTTCTGTCTTATGTACGAATGGAGCTTAGCAGTACACCAGTAGAAGTTAAATAAATGTTAAAACGACGGGTTTTAAAGGGTCTTTAATATTTTCAGTCAGGCATAGTATGAGTCAGTCAGCTGAGCGAAGGACCCCACGCAGCACGCTCACACGTGTTTGTCTACAGCCATGGCGGACATGCAGATGAAGATTCTCCGCAAGAAAATT